GCGTGAAGGAGAGGCACTTCACTACACCGCTAGCCCTCCATGCTAAACGGCCGCAGCCCTGGACCTGGACCGAGGAGCGGCCTGCTAAGACCCCCAAGGGGAAGGGCAAAGGCAAAGACGCCCCCCCAAGGGGGGCAAAGCTAAGAAGCGCTTGGGGGTCGATCGCACCCCGCAAGGGAAGCCCATCTGCTTCCGCTACAATGCCAAGGGCTGCAAGAATGGCAGCAAGTGCCATTTCGAGCACGTCTGCTCGCTATGCTTCGGCAAGCACCCAGCTACGAAGTGCCCCACCAAGCAGACGGAGGCCGCTAAGGAGGACAAGCCCTCCAACTGACCCGCTACGGCGGCTGCGCCCTCAGTGCCTGTGACCCCCCCGGTGGGGGATGCTACGCCAGACCCACTGGCTGCTACGCCAGCAAAGCCGGCCGCTACGCACACAAAGCCGCTACGGGTGCTCTACCTCTTCTCGGGTACCTCGCGCCGGCTAGATGTGGCGCAGTGTTTGCACCAGCTAGCAGCGGAGTTCGGAAAAGACGTGCGGGTCGAGTGTGTCGACCTGCTGCGGCACGCTAAATACGACCTCAGTCGACCCAAGATTCGGCAAAGCTACCTGAACCGGATCGCTAGCAAGGAGTTCGATGCGGTGGTGCTCTCCCCGCCGTGCGCTAGCTTCTCCAGAGCGCCTTGGGCTAACTTTCAAGGGCCCCGCCCTGTGCGCAGCTACGAGTTTCCCCGGGGCCTGGAGACGCTAACACCTGCAGAGCGAGACCGCGCTATCCTGGGCAACATTTTTGCCGATTTCATGAGGTCGCTAACCTCGTGGCCGACGGTGCAGCTACTTTCCTCGCCATGGAGCAGCCCGAGGCCCTCGGGGCCCTCGCTAAGGGCCCGCATCGAGGGACACGGCCGGCCTCCATGTGGCAGTGGCCGCCGCTAGCCGACCTTCTGGAAAAGGGGCTACGGACCGTGGCCTTCCACCAGGCTAGTTTTGGTACGCCATACGCTAAGCCGACACGGCTGCTGCTAAAGTGCTCTTCTGCTATGCCAGACTTTGTTCACGAAGGCCTGCCGTGCTATGACAAAAAGGGCTGCTACACGCTGCCTTCTGCTGATACTCTGGGCCGCATGTTCAAGCGCCCCGCTAAGGGCCCCTTCAAGACCTCAGGGTCCGAAAAGTGGCCCGCTAGAATGTGCCAGTGGCTGGCGACCCTGATTCTGGACTCCTGCCAGCACCCTGCTACCGCTGCCCAGGGGGAGGGGGGTGGCGCTAGGCCGGAGTGCCCGCTACCCGAGACCTTCCCGGCCGGAGGGTCCGCGAGTGCTAGGGGGTTCAGGACCACCAAGGACCTGCCAGCAGCTAGGTGGCAACAAGAACTACCACGATGGTGGGGGCCTCTGCTCCCCAGGACGCTGGCCCCACGCTACCCGCAACTACGCCCAGGGTCCCAACTGGGACTGGCTACGGGAGAAGATGATGGAGGTTATCCTCGCGAAAATGGGTTCGGAAGCGGAGCTAGAGACGGAAGCCTTCCGCATGGCTGCCGGGGGGGCCAAGGGCTGTGCCCTAGCTAGCTCCGAAGATCTCCAGGAGCAGCTACGCTTGATCTGGAAAGAGTGGTTGGAAGCTAATGACCTGGGAGACCCGGAGCTGCTAAAGGTGGCCCCGGGGCAGCCGCTATACCTCCGCCTCATCCGGGCGCTACTGACCGCGGCCGGCGATCCCGACAGGGACTTCCTCCTCCAGGCCGAGGAGGGGCTACCGGTGGGGGTGAGAGACCCGCTACCACGCACTCCCCACGTCTTCGAGGAACAGCTAAAGTGGCCCTTGGAGAACGCTCCTTGGGAGGCGGCGCTAGCCTGGGTCCCGAACTACTCCTCGGTGGAGGAGTACCGCGAGTTCGCTAGGGAGAAGTTCGAAGAGGACGTGGCGGAGGGCCTCATGGTCAAGATGACGCTAGGCGAGTTCAAAGCCCGCTATGGCGAGCATCGAGCCATCGCCGCGCTAGCTGTCATCGTTGAGGACGAAGCTAGTGGAAAGAAGAGGATGATCCACGACGCTACCCACGGGGTCCGGGTCAACCACCGCATCAAGTGCAGGGACAAGATCCGGGCCCCAGGAGCTAGGGAGAAGAAGCAGCTACTTCGGGAGCACATCGACGCTAACGAGGTGGCCTTCTCCGTGGTGGGTGACATCGCTAAAGCCCACCGACGCTACAAGCATGCCGAAGGAGAGCATGGCTACCTAGGGTGCCAGATCGACACCGAGGAAGCTACACCGGGGGACCCCGACAGCCAGACGGTTTACGTTAATCTGGTGGGGACCTTCGGGCTATCATGTGCGAGCTACTGGTGGACCCGCATAGCGGCGTGTGGGCTTCGACTCACGTACCACCTGCTAGGGCCATCGTTCCCGCTAGACATGCTCCTCTATGCCGATGACCTCGAGTCCTTGGGCCGGGGGGCTAGAGGACGCATGGGGATCCCGCTAAGCTATCTCTTCCTCGCTAGTCTTGGGTACCCCTTCAAGTGGGCCAAGACGAGGGGGGGATTTCGGGTGGAGTGGCTAGGCATGGAAACGGAGTACTCCACCTGGAGGCTAGGCCTGTCTCAGAAGAGAACCGACTGGCTAGTGGAATGGCTACGGAAGCTAGTCCGAGATGGGAAGTGTGCGCCTGGGGTTCGCTTCCATGGCGCTAGACTGGGAGCGCCCCTTCCTGGGACCGCTACACGCTTGGTCCTCGGCTGTCCAGGGGAAGCTGGGGCTCCTCACGCTACCCACGATGATTCGCGTCCTCTGTGGTTGGCTAGCGGACCGCCTGGAAGCAGGAGGCCGTCTCCAGAAGCCGGCCTCGCTATTGGACGGTGCGGCACCGCTCTCCTTTTACACCGATGCTAAAGCCGAGAATGGACGTGCCTGGATTGGGGGCTTCCTCGAGCTAGTGGACGGCTGCCACGGTCCCTGGTTCTCGCTAGAAGTAAAGAAGGAATGGGCCCCCTGGGCCTTCGCTAAAGGGGACCCGAACAAGGTCATAGCCGCGCTGGAGCTACTGGCTACTCTGGTCGGTGTGAGGCTATGGGTCCCGGAAGGGGACGCTAAGAAGACCTCCAAGGTGGCCATCCGTGGCTACACCGACAACCAGTCCAACGAGGCGCTACTGAAGAAGGCTATGACGACGAAGTTCCCGTCGACCTTGGTGTTGATGGAGCTAGCGGAAGAACTCTCCGCTAAGAACTGTGAGCTTCAGCTACAGTGGATCCGCAGGGATCTGAACCAGCTAGCGGACGACCTCACGAACGAGAACTTCGCTAGTTTCTCCCCGGACTTCAGGGTGAACCTGGAGGGGGAAAAGCTAGAGTGGCGCGTGCTGGGCCGTCTCCTCGAACACTCGGCTAGCTACTTCCAAGAGCTAGGAGTGAGGAAAAGGACCAGAGAGCCGAAGGCTCCGAGGTTCGCTAAGAAGGCCCGTAAGCTAGGTCCCTGGTAGCCCTACGGCTGCGCAAGGAGATTAGCTAGCCAAAGGCTAGAGTTCTTCTCCGGGCTAACGCGGGACTTCGCCACAACGCTAAAAAGAGAGAAGTTCGTGTTGTCCGTGCTACTGCGTGAAGCCGGTTAGCTTTAGCTAGGCTTGCTACGTACTCCCGGAGGTGTAGTGGGAGGTGGCGGGAGGATACGCTAGCTAGTGTACGCACTCGTGCCGAGGGACGAGGTACGACCGTGTATGCTAGCGCTAGTATCCCTTTGGGGAAACATCGAAGGTGTTTCGCTAGAAAACTTCGAAGGGGTTTTCCTCTGAAGCAAAACAGAACGAAGCTTGTCTGTTTGCTAGAGTGACTGCACATGGCCGGTGAAGCAGGGCTATTCCGTGGCCATTGTGCTGAAAGGCCCCCAGCTACTGGGGGGCAAATTTCGAGTGCCCACCCAACCCACCCTGGAGATTAGCTAGCCAAAGGCTAGAGTTCTTCTCCGGGCTAACGCGGGACTTCGCCACAACGCTAAAAAGAGAGAAGTTCGTGTTGTCCGTGCTACTGCGTGAAGCCGGTTAGCTTTTGCTAGGCTTGCTACGTACTCCCGGAGGTGTAGTGGGAGGTGGCGGGAGGATACGCTAGCTAGTGTACCTTTAAGAAAGCAAAGGCAGCCACAAAGTATGCAGAGTTCGAAGAGCTTGCCGTGGAGGTCACCTCTCAGACTGAAGACGTCAATAGCAAATTAAGTAAAGGGCCTGCCATCAAGTTCGGATTGCCGATGAGCGTTGACCGACTGATCAAAGAGAAGCCAGGTCCCAATAACCGGTTTTCCAGCACATTGAAGCTGGTGCAGCATGTGTCGAAGTAACCACAGCGGAGCCAAAGCTGCTGAGCTTTCCCGCCCCATGAATTTGGGGGGGGGGGGGGGGTGGGTGTGTCATTCCTGTCACGAAGGGCTAAGTAATAATGCAGGGGGCATGGCGGTCTTGTTCCTAGCCATATGAAGCTACGGAACATGACAGGAAGGGAGACTGGACGCACTGTTCTGTACCTGTAAGAAACTGACATGGGTGACTGATGTCGCAGCTTGCAGTTTCAATTGTTTGCTTTCGCATGCTTGCTGTTGTCGGATGAGCCTGGAGACCAGTAACTCTAGACAGTCAAAAAGCAGCAGATCAGTAATTCTACACATAGAAAACTAGAAAAAGAGGAAAATAATGGGAAAACAGAGCCACATCTCCGACTTACATCCAGACCAAGAGGTCTACTGCAAGTGTGTGTGTGTGTGTGTGTGTGTGTCTGTGTGTGTGTGTGTGTGCGTAGAGAGACAGACAGAGAGAGTCTTCCGTTCACACTGCACGATTGACCAACTGAGTGCAACACACGGGGCATCCGAGAATGGTGCCCCTCCATCAAGACATTTTCAAGCAACGGGAACTATTGTTGCGGAACGTAGGTGAACCGGTGCTTGGAGAATCCAGGGAATTCTGGAATACCTGCTCCTGAGAAGGGTTGCGTCGCCTGAAACTTGCGAGGTTTTGGTCCCCTTTGATATGGCCGCCGGTCCCTTGCAGGCTTTCGGATACTCGCCCAAACTTGTCTTTGCCCCAGAGATATTGAATTGATCGCAGTTATCTGCCGAAGCACGCAAGCCCAGCCTGGTCTCTATGGCGTGTTTGGTACCGTGCAAACGCTGTGGTGCGGGGTTGCGGGTTGATTGATTTCATGACCCATGCTGAGATTTCCGGCGGGTCTTTGTCTGCTAGATAGTCAAATAGTCAGTCCGCGGGTGATATCTCTCGAAAAGATATTAAGGTGGATGTGGAGCCAGACTGGGACAGCCTGAGTGGGACTGCAAAGGCGGTGCCCGTGGTAGCTGTGCCTGGACCCTGGCGGGTTGTCTCTCCAGGGCCGCATGCCAGGGGTGGCTGCTCCGCAAAATGCGTCCAAGATGTTGAATGCGAAGTGCCGTCCACAAGGACGGAGCTGGTCGTTGAATCTACTTCTGCATCACTTGGCTTGTGTTCCCTTGTTCCGCTTGGGCAGAAGACACGGACCGCTCCCAGACGATGTGGCTCTTGTTCGGAAGACTCCTTGCACTCGTCGTTGTTGTTGGCAGTGGTGCATTTGCAGCATGTGAAGTGCCAAACTCGAGTTTTGCACCTTGCAGCCTTTTCGTTTTCCCTCGTGCTCGTGCTCGTTTTTGTCCGGATGCTGTTGCTGCTTCGTTTATTGTTTTTTGCCATCGGTATTTCAACCGTTTCGAGGGGGAGGGGGGGGTGGGGTCCTATCATTTTTTTCGCTTTTGTATTCTTTTCGGGGTCGTGCTGTTTTGTGTTTTTTGTTCTCGCGGGAGGGGGAGGGGCAGCAGTCTTCAACAGACATCAGACATATCCTCGAACCGCAGCTATTATGAAGTCTGCCCATCACCGCTTGTGATGATGCTGATGATGATGATGATGATGTCGATGATGATCCCACCTCGAGGGGGGATTAGTGGACCCTTTGAACCTGATGTATATATCGAATCTACCGTGCCTGCCACAGGAAGCAGGCTTCCTCTTGGATTTGTCGATGGGGCGATTATTGTTTTTTGCGTTTAGGGTTTAGGGTTTGGAAACGCTTAAAACTCGAGTTGTTGACATCCCGGTCACGTTTGCGGTCTGAACCACCATGCTGGTCACACGAAACAGGGGCTTGAATATACGGTTGTGGATCTAGTGAAGCAACCGTTCGTATGACATGACACAACAAGGTATGACATGGTATGGTATGATATGATATGGTACGATATGACATGATATTATTTGCAAAGATGTAAAAAGTCAGGACATGATATGACCTGTGTTGATGTGATCTGGCGTTATATGTCGTGACCTGATGTGGGATGATATGACATGATATGATATGACATGAAAGTCACACACCACCATCTTCAAAAACAGCATCATTTCCCGTCCCGTTTCCGGACCCCCTGCCCCACTCCGCCCGCCCCCCCCTATCGTAACAACGGGCAGAAAGTAGGCGCAGTTTTTCCTCATGCGGCAACAGCGACAAACAACCAGGAGCAGGTCACAGAAACCGCACCAGGTTGGGACACATCGATCACGGCAAGACCACGCTTCTTGATGCTATCTGCGGCACGAATGTGGCCGAGAACGAGCCAGGCGGAATAACGCAGGCCAGGCTTGCTTTGTGCTTCGTTTGAAGGATCGCCGCAATGGTTTCCCTGAAGAGGATGTGAGAGCGATGACGGGCTTCGTGGAGGCAGCCGTGGAGTTGGACACAGTGAAAGGTTGGCAGCCCGTCACAGAGCTGGGGCGACAACGAGTGCGACTTGTTGAATTGACTCTTCTACTCTTTACCGAGGCCGGCGAGGAGGGCTTGACCTGCAGGCACGAAGAGAGGGTGCGACATGGGTTGATGGGTTCATGGCCTCTGGACATGTTGACAGCTGCAGGGTCGTGAAAGCGCACGTCTTGGGAATGTCAGCTAGTACATGCCGACATGTCTGTGTTTTTCCGGCTCGAAACTCCGAAACTTTGCCCGCTCGTCCCTCGGCCGTCCATGTGCTGCGGCAGTCTGCCGCTTCAGGAGCAAAAGTCTGGTAACAAAAGCAGGCTTAGGATTTGGGATTCTGAGTATGTCTCGAGATTGCACACGTACTGAGCGCCACCAGCCAAGTTGCACAGATTCTGCAGAGTCATGACAGGAGACTTGATTGACTTTCGACCAGGCAGAGATGACCTGGATGGGCACTCAGCTTGAGTTTAAAATACACTCCTTACTTTGCGGCATGACCTCACTGCTCAGGTTTGCGGTTGATGTGGAGGAACGAAGCGCTTTGAAGTTGCAGCGCTCGGGCCCTTGGTGCCGTGTTGCAAGGTCAGGAGCGTCTGCTGCACTCACCATTATTTGCCCTGAGTAGCCTCTTGAAGCCATTCGTGAGTCTTGTGCCATGGCACGCATCTCGTTCCACCTGTGCATACTGAGACCTGCCCCTTGGTATGGATGCACCGCCGGGTCTCGAGGCACGGTGGCGAAAGCACGGGTCATACCGGTCAAACCATTTTGCAATGACGCGGTCTTGCTTGACGCAGATAGGGGCTTAGGATTCCACGATAGCAGATAGGGGTTTAGAGTTCCTTATTCCACGAAAGCAGATAGGGGTTTAGGATTCCGGATTCCATTTAAGATTCCACGATAGCAGATAGGGGTTTAGGGTTCCGGATTCCACGATAGCAGATAGGGGTTTAGGGTTCCGGATTCCACGATAGCACATAGTGGCTTAGGATTCCGGATTCCATCTAGGATTCCACGATGGCAGATAGGGGTTTAGGGTTCCGGATTCCACGATAGCAGATTGGGGTTTAGGGTTCCGGATTCCACGATAGCACATAGTGGCTTAGGATTCCGGATTCCATCTAGGATTCCACGATGGCAGATAGGGGTTTAGGGTTCCGGATTCCACGGTAGCAGATAGGGGTTTAGGGTTCCGGATTCCACGATAGCACATAGTGGCTTAGGATTCCGGATTCCATCTAGGATTCCACGATGGCAGATAGGGGTTTAGGGTTCCGGATTCCACGATAGCAGATAGGGGTTTAGGGTTCCGGATTCCACGATAGCACATAGTGGCTTAGGATTCCGGATTCCATCTAGGATTCCACGATGGCAGATAGGGGTTTAGGGTTCCGGATTCCACGATAGCAGATAGGGGTTTAGGGTTCCGGATTCCACGATAGCACATAGTGGCTTAGGATTCCGGATTCCATCTAGGATTCCACGATGGCAGATAGGGGTTTAGGGTTCCGGATTCCACGATAGCAGATAGGGGTTTAGGGTTCCGGATTCCACGATAGCACATAGTGGCTTAGGATTCCGGATTCCATCTAGGATTCCACGATGGCAGATAGGGGTTTAGGGTTCCGGATTCCACGATAGCAGATAGGGGTTTAGGGTTCCGGATTCCACGATAGCACATAGTGGCTTAGGATTCCGGATTCCATCTAGGATTCCACGATGGCAGATAGGGGTTTAGGGTTCCGGATTCCACGACAGCAGATAGGGGTTTAGGGTTCCGGATTCCACGATAGCACATAGTGGCTTAGGATTCCGGATTCCATCTAGGCTTCCACGATGGCAGATAGGGGTTTAGGGTTCCGGATTCCACGATAGCAGATAGGGGTTTGGGGTTCCGGATTCCACGATAGCACATAGTGGCTTAGGATTCCGGATTCCATCTAGGATTCCACGATGGCAGATAGGGGTTTAGGGTTCCGGATTCCACGACAGCAGATAGGGGTTTAGGGTTCCGGATTCCACGATAGCACATAGTGGCTTAGGATTCCGGATTCCATCTAGGCTTCCACGATGGCAGATAGGGGTTTAGGGTTCCGGATTCCACGATAGAGATAGGGGTTTGGGGTTCCGGATTCCACGATAGCACATAGTGGCTTAGGATTCCGGATTCCATGTAGGATTCCACGATGGCAGATAGGGGTTTAGGGTTCCGGATTCCACGATAGCAGATAGGGGTTTAGGGTTCCGTGCCGCGGTTAAGGAGTAGTAGGAGTAGTAGGAGTAGCCTGCCGCCAGCGAAATGGCGCTCGCTGCGGTTGGCCATATGGGTACTCGAACTTCACCCGTGCCCAGGTCGCTGGAGCACAGGTGTTGTGCCTCAAGTGCTTTCCCGAGACAGTCGACAGACAGCTACAGCTCGTCCTCCAGCTGACGCTCAGCCTCGCTGCGGGCATTATGAAGAAAAGAACCGTTTGGAGAGCAACATACCGTGTGCCTTGCATCTGATAGGCAGCCCCACCCCTCACTTCTTCCCGACTTTTCTCACTTTCCCGCAGCCTTTGCGAACTCGTCATGCACAGCATAGGACATGGAGACTTCTTTGAAGGCCGTCCGCGCGCCCGACGACCTCATCGCGTATGTCGAGGCCAGCGGCATCTTCGCGATCAACATCTACGCCGAGCTGGGCGACAGAGTCACGCCAACTTCGCGAGATCAAGGTCGCCTTTGCCGCGCGAACCGCAGCCGCTCAGATTCCGACCAAAATGACGCTCCGCAGCGAAGACGAAGCGATCATGGCGAAGTCACGCGACAAGAGCCAGGATATTGTCTTGCTCAGCTTTTTCGACGGCGGCGTGGCCTGCCTGGAGTACTGCAGGTGTCGAGAAATTTCTTGGACAGGAGCGTCATGGGAGTTCGACAAGAACTTGATTGGTGAAGCTCATCTCCGATCATGTTCCCGAGGTGCACGCTCGCGGCGACTTCGAGCAGGAGACGGCGACGTCAATGCACGAACTTGTGCAGAGTCTTGACCGCCGTGGTGGGTCGACCTCGAGAAGAATTGGCGGCATGGTCGAGCAGTCCTATTCATCGAGAATGTCATCCCTCAGAAACGCGCCAACATAAGAAAGATCGAGAAGATGCTCGACATCGTGCACGACGCCGCCGATTTCGGCACCATAGCGCTTCAGAACGAGAGCACGGAGGTTGACGAGGCGGAGAGTGCAAGCGCGGCATCTTCAGGAAGGAGGCGAAAGCCAAAGCCCGACCACGTCGTGGAGGGGACGCAGTCCGCAGCGATCTGATATTGATCAGGTACGACAATCCGCACAACTGTTGCATTGATGTTCACAACAGGCGCGGTGTTTACTGGGCACGTGGGGTCGAGATGAAGGACATGGGCCCCGAAAACAACCAGAGAATTGTCGAATTGATCGAGGAAATGTCGGACCACAGGGATCGTTGTCTTCGGCAGCGAGGTGACACACCATTGTTTGCTTTCGATGCCGACCAGGGTTAGTATACGAACCCAGGGTATGAATGCATGGGTGGAGGACGAAGTATTCGTGGAGGCATCCTGGACCTCATTCCTTTGGAAGGGGCCAGATTTATCCATGGACCTCGTCCAGGACGTTGTCATGCGGAACCTCAGGAGACATGTGATCAAGAATTCCAATCGGGCATTGTCTCGTATTCAGTCAGATCTTGACATCGCATTGCGAGAGCAGCAGGGTCGGACTGGCTGGACAACAGATCTCGTTCCAGGTTCCAAGGCGTCATCAAATGTGATGAGGGTGGATGGGTGCTGATCGACGACCTCGTGAGGATTGAAGCATTGTGGACTCATTCCAGTCACGCAATTACTGATTCTGCTTCGCCTACTGATCCGGACCAAAGGAAGCGGATTTACAACGAAAGGTTGCAATTGCTATTCCAGGGCAATGTGGCAAGTGCCAACAAGGATCGGAACGCCAAGATCAGACTGCAGTTTCTGGGAGTGAGGGTGAAGGAACCGCCTGCCGGGCCTTCTCCTCTGGGTGTACCCAATTCCAGTCAGCTTGTTTCCAAGCGCGACCAGATCACTGAGATCCAGATGAACGACAACACCCGCAGACAGCAACGTTACCTTCAACAGTGCAATGGCTGGGTTAGGCCTTGGGCCGTTCGTGCTGCCAGTGGGCACTCGTCGCACACGAATCCGGCAATGAATTTGCTTGAGTTGGACAAGAACAAGTTCGCGATTTCTCCGATGAGTTTGCTGAACCTTCTGGGGGGAGCATACCATGCGACCGCTTGCCGGAACATGGGCTCCATAGCAAGGGAAGGCATTCTTTCAGGTGCAGATGGCCCTTTTGGGGAATTTACACATCACCACCGAACGTTAGAGAGCGGACGTCTTCACAGCTACTTTGGCATTTTCGCACCGTTTGACCCAAGGAACGTTACAACGAAGACAAGCGTGCACGGCTACCGCAATGAACCTTCTCATATGCCCCTGGCAGTGATCCACGTCCCATCCGCAGATCTTGTTCGCGAAGGAGGAAGGATTACAGACAGTGGAATCATCATCGTTGGCCGACCAGTACCCTTCTCCTTTGTCAAAGAAGTTTGGTTCTGTGTCCCGAGCTCAAGGGACAACTATTCCTTTGATTTGGTGGAGAAGATCTTCGATGAAAGGCTGGAAGACGAGTTCGTAGCGTCGCCACTCTTGCCAGAGTTCGATCGAAGCAGAATGCCTGGTCGAATCATGGAGTTGCTTTGCGAAATGCCGTCTGGACCACACAATGCAGCCAAGGAGCGATTGCTTCGTACGATTGCAGGTGCCATCGACATGCATCATGAAGACCCTCGACGCCATCACTACATGAAGGAAGGAATCATGTTCCTCATCAAGAACACACGTCCCGGAGACCTACGAAGGGATTCCGATGGAAGGAAACGAGAATCGGTCCTGCCTGCTACAATGTCGTACCTGGTCATTGTTCATCTCATGTGGTCGATATCAAGGAACGGTGCAAAGGTAGACTCCTTCGGAGATCCTAGCGCAACCATTGCTCAGACGATGGAAGCAGCAACAGCAGCCGTCCCCGTCCAT